GAAGCAAGGAAGGGTGTAGGAAAGGCCTTTGTCACAGCTTTTCGTTCGGGGGCGGTGATGGGTTTCCTTCTTGCTGCGAATGGTCTTTTGGTGCTCTATATCTCTATCCTCTTATTCAAACTCTACTATGGAGATGACTGGGAAGGACTTTATGAGTCCATTACTGGTTATGGCCTTGGAGGTTCATCAATGGCACTGTTTGGAAGAGTTGGAGGAGGAATATATACAAAAGCAGCTGATGTTGGTGCTGACCTTGTTGGAAAAGTTGAACTAAACATCCCTGAAGATGATCCAAGAAATCCAGCTGTAATCTCCGTGAACCCCTTTAACACTCTCTTTAACTAATTACATGATCGAAGTTTTATCCTTCATGCTATTTACTTCGATTGGTTGCAATGGATTTATGGTTTCTATGCAGGTTATTGCCGATAACGTGGGTGACAATGTAGGAGACATTGCAGGGATGGGGTCTGACCTATTTGGATCTTATGCTGAATCATCCTGTGCAGCACTTTTTGTTGCATCTATATCATCCTTTGGTATTAGCCATAACTACACAGCCATGTCTTTTCCACTGATTATAAGCTCAGTTGGGATTGTAGTTTGCCTGATAACTACACTTTTTGCAACCGATCTCTTCAAGATCAAGGATGTAAGTGAAATTGAGCCATCACTGAAGAGGCAACTCATTGTCTCAACAATTCTCATGACTGCTGGGATTGCCCTGGTCAGCTTCTTTGCTTTGCCATCAGAATTCACTATCTTCAATTTCGGAACTGAGAAGGTTGTCAAGAACTGGTATGCTACCCACCAAAAAAGTCTATTTCCTTTTCCCGTGGAACATTTTGTAGCATTCCATTTTCTTGATTGAATTACATATTACTGCAGGCACCTTTTCTTTTGTGTTGCCATTGGCTTGTGGGCTGGACTTGTGATTGGATATACAACAGAGTATTACACTAGCAATGCTTACAGGTTAGTTATGTTCTCAAAGAATCTCTCTGTATAACAAGTTGCCCTTCTCTTATTGATAGGGCATCACCAAAGTGGGAAAAGCCGTGCAATGGTTGAGAGTCTGTGACCCAGGGATTTCCCTATAAATTTTGATGTTAAAAAAAAAAACATACTATTTATCAATTCTTTCAAGATTTTCATGGATGCCCTTGCCATAAATGTTTTGGATTGATTTATATGTTGAATTCTGCAGTCCAGTGCAGGATGTAGCGGATTCTTGCAGGACAGGTGCTGCGACGAATGTCATTTTTGGGTTGGCTTTGGGCTACAAATCGGTCATTATTCCAATATTTTCCATTGCCATCGCTATTTTTGTCAGCTTTAGCCTGGCTGCCATGTATGGAATTGCGGTGGCTGCGTTGGGGATGCTCAGTACTATTGCTACCGGTCTTGCTATCGATGCTTATGGGCCCATAAGTGATAATGCTGGTGGCATTGCAGAAATGGCTGGTATGAGTCATAAGATACGCGAAAGAACAGATGCTCTAGATGCTGCTGGCAACACCACTGCTGCAATTGGCAAGGTAGGGCTACTAACCGATCCTTTAATTGCCTAAATTCCAATGAATCTTTGATTTGTTGCCCATGTTTTAACCTGTGGGCTCGTGGAGTTTCCATAAGGACTCCTGCCACCTCTTAATGGTATTGAGTCAGACAAACAAAAATTCTGACAACTCCCTGTCCCAGGGTTTTGCCATTGGATCAGCTGCTCTCGTTTCCCTTGCTTTGTTTGGTGCCTTTGTCAGCAGGGCTGGGATCAATACTGTCGATGTCTTGACCCCTAAGGTCTTCATTGGGCTGGTTGTTGGGGCAATGCTCCCATACTGGTTCTCTGCCATGACAATGAAGAGTGTAGGAAGTGCAGCACTCAAAATGGTCGAAGAGGTTCGTCGACAATTCAAAACTATTCCAGGACTTATGGAAGGTAGAGCCAAACCAGACTACGCAAACTGTGTCAAAATTTCAACTGATGCCTCCCTCAGGGAGATGATCCCACCTGGTGCCTTGGTCATGCTTACGCCACTTATCACCGGAACCTTATTCGGAGTAGAAACTCTTGCTGGTGTTCTTGCTGGTTCACTTGTTTCTGGTGTTCAGGTGTGTCTTACTGCTCATTCCTCCTGACAGAACAAAGCTACTACAATAGAATCATAAGAAAAAACTGTGCCCGTGTTCTAAGCTAAGCAGAGTTTTTTTCTTTTCTGCTTATCAGGTTGCCATTTCAGCTTCGAATACTGGAGGGGCATGGGATAATGCCAAGAAATACATAGAGGTAAAAATCTTCATTCTTGTAGTTGATATCAGTTTTCAAAACAGTTTAGTTATGCCGCGCTTGATTCTGGATTGCAATGTGGTTTAGGCCGGTGCATCAGAGCACGCGAAATTGTTAGGTCCAAAGGGTTCAGATGCACACAAAGCTGCTGTCATTGGTGACACAATTGGAGATCCCCTCAAGGACACTTCAGGTCCATCACTTAACATCCTGATAAAGCTTATGGCAGTTGAGTCACTGGTGTTTGCTCCATTCTTCGCGGCTCATGGAGGTTTGCTGTTCAAATATCTCTAAAATGAGTTCTCATTGTAATGGTTTCCGAAATGTGAAGGATTCGGAAACAGACATGTTGAGTTTTTTCTTAACTATGATCAAGCAAGTTTCTTGTGAATATTAACTTCTTGTTTTATGTTGGTGATCCTTGCTAAGCTACTCCATAAATATAGTGTTTTCACCCTCCGAAAAGGGTGACTGTTCAGTCAATTTTCACACTTGCAGCTCGCTTGTCCATCGCATTAAAAGCTTTATAATTTTATGTTTTTAGTTTGTTTTTAAAAGATATTTTTGAAAAGATTTAAATTTTTTATTTTTTTCTTTACTTTAAATTAATTTTTTTTTGTTTTCAAATTATTTTTATGTATTGAAATAATTTTTTTAAAAAATAAAAATATATTATTTTAATATATCTATAAGCAAAATATACTTCCAAAAACAATTATAATTATATTTTTAAATAGATACTTGATATGATATTCTAATAAATATGATTTTAGTTTTTTTAAAAGATTTTGTTTGAAAAATATGTTTATTTTATAATTTTTTTAACTAAACATGTCCTTTAATAATCAAAAAATTATATAATTTTAATAAATTTTATATGGTTTGGTCCAGAAAAAAAAACAATTTTATTGATAAACATGTGGAACTTCAGCAGCAATCTTTTGTAATGAGAATTGCTGAATCATTGCCACGATGCAATGAGCATGGAGTGGCTTCCAATTCAAGCATCCAAGGCAGCAAATAAAATAATAGACGGACCCCACCTCCAACTTTTACAAGCTTGCATAGATTTCATTTCATGGCCTGCCAAAGTTATCTTTTGCCTGTTTTGTGTAATTTCATGGCCTGCCATTGCCTTTTTGGGTGCCTTTTGTGGCAATGAAAAAAATGTGCCATAACTTTCATAAATTACATGTGAAAAAATGGATTTTTAAACTCCACCTTATTTATGATCTAATCCGATCATTTATTAAACAAGTTAATTTAAAAATTAATGGGTTAATTCAGCTTGATTTTATTTTAATTTTTGTTCAATATTATATTATTTAAAAAAAAAAAAAACTTGAGACTTGCCAAATAACCCAGATACAAAATTAATAAATTTATCTGTGAATATTTATAAGTGGATTTATACTATTATATTTTTAAAAATGTTTGGATTTTTTTTTTAAATCTTGATTACACATAAGCTGACCACTAATGTTCATTGCGATTGAATTTTATTTTATTTTTTAAAAAAAAAACCTATACTTCCCAATGGAAAGCACATAGGGCCATTTGGTTTTTACTCAATGACTGTAATAAGCTCTTGGAAACTAAATCTCTAATTGATGCTACAAGAACCAATCTCTTGCTGCCACTTGGATTGTCTTTGAAATGATCCGTGTTTGATTTGAAGACAACCTTGAATTTCACGAAACATATTGAAACTCCAAAATCAACGTTTGTTTAGATTCAACATGATCCGATGTCAGTTCTTCACATTTTCATTTGTGAAGTTTCAAGATTACGAGATGCTTGAATTCCTTAATAGAAAAACTAAGATTCCGTACGCTTTTTTATTCATTTTTCAAATGAAATAGATTTTTTTCAAGTTTAATTTAAAAAAATCGGAAATTGAATTTTTTTATATATGTGAGAAAATTAGGGAAAAATTATAATTTTATAGTTTTTTTTTTAGATTTTATGATTAAAAATATATGGTATTTCTTTGTGAATATTTTAATTTAATTTTGGTATATTACCTTAAGAAATTTAATTTAATTTTAGCATATAAAAATTGATTAAAAAACTAATTATAACTTAATCAACTTTTCTAAATATTCAAATGGATAATATTATCTTAAGAAATTTAACATCATGTTTATTTACTAAAAAATAGTTTTATTTTGAAAAATAGTTTTATTTTGAAAAATAAATTCTTGAAAAATTAATTAATTTTTTATATTTAATAATATTATAAAAAATAAGTTGAAAAATATTTTATAGTGTTTGATACTATTATAAAAAATAAGCTATAAAATAACTTATTAATATTTTTTAAAAACTTATTAAAATAATAAAAAACAAATATTACAAGTTAAAAATTTAAATAAAATTAAAAAAATCTTATTTAATAAATTATCTTAAATAAAATAAATAATAATAATAATAATAAAAAAATCAAAATAATTAATCACAACTTAATCCAAACACAAAACCCCTCCCACTCGGCCCCACTTAAACTCAATTCACCAATCCCAACCTGCCACGTACTCGCCTCTAACAACCAACCAAAAAACTCACACTACCTTTGCTGTAACTTACCAATCCCTCACTCCCACGTCACCCCAATGACACTCCAAATCCTACATGTCACTCTCCTACTCGTCCACGTAACTACCTCACTCCACGCATGACATTTACGAAAACACCACCATAAATATACGGTCAGAAATCATACTCTCACTGTAACAGTCGAAATGGGAAACCCTAAAACACTCACTCTGATTCTCTTTTCTCTCTTCGCGATCACATCAGCTAAAGTCTTCTTCGAAGAACGCTTCGAAGGTATAATTATACGTGTCCGTATCTGTCACCGTATCTAATTCAATTATCTCTTCTAGATCGTTGATTTTGCCTCGCATTTTGATCAGATCGATGTTTGATTACTGTATTTCCCTATTTATTTGCATTTACGTATGCATGTACGTATGTGGATCTTGTTTGGTCTCGATTTGATTAGTGAAGGATTGATGGTTTTGTTTAATGTGTGAATCGGGTGGTTTAGGAGTGGCAATGGTTAGTTATAGTGTAATCGAGGTTAGAAATGGAATAAGTTCGTGTAGATCTGCTAGGTTTTGTGGTTTTGTGTAGTAGCTGATTCTGATTATGATGATGATGTGGCTTAATTAGAGCTAGAAATTTGAAAAAAAATAATAATAATAAAGAAGGGAAAGATGCTGTTGTGGTTTTCGGACTTGTTTTGGATGTCTCTTGGCGTAGGGACATTGATTGTTTTCGGTATCGGGAGGTTTGAGGGAATATGGAATGGTGAAGTTTAACTTTTAAATGGTGAAGATAATCGGTGAATTGTAATCAGCTTGTGTTTGATGTGTATTTTTCTGATTTTGTGTTGGCATTGTATGATTAGAGTGATTTTTATGATTGCTAATGTAGTTTTTGTGATTTTGTGTGTGGAACTGAAGATGGATGGGAGAATAGATGGGTTGTATCTGATTGGAAGAAAGATGAGAGCACCGCCGGGGTCTGGAACCATACTTCTGGAAAATGGAATGGAGATCCTAATGACAAAGGTATTTTTTTTAGGTCTGTTGAATTTTGGTGTTTCAAAGTGTGTAGTGTTTGGCTGATTTTTTTAATATTGACATGTTGATGCAGGTATCCAAACAAGTGAAGACTACAGGTTCTATGCTATTTCAGCTGAGTTCCCTGAATTCAGCAACAAGGATCAGACACTTGTTTTCCAATTCTCCGTCAAGCATGAGCAAAAGCTTGATTGTGGTGGTGGCTACCTAAAGTTGCTCAGTGGTGAAGTTGACCAGAAGAAATTTGGTGGTGATACCCCGTACAGGTTGGCTCAATTTCCAATCATAGTCCAGGCTTCTTTTTGTTGTTGTTGTTATGCATGTCTAAATTGATTGACATGGCATTTGACGGTTTGCTGCAGTATCATGTTTGGACCAGATATCTGTGGATACAGCACCAAGAAAGTTCATGCCATTCTTAACTACAATGAAACAAACCACTTGATCAAGAAGGAAGTTCCCTGTGAGACTGACCAACTCTCTCATGTCTACACATTTATCATCCGTCCTGATGCTACATACAGTATCCTTATTGACAATGTAGAGAAGCAAACTGGCAGTTTGTACACCGACTGGGATCTTCTCCCGCCAAAGCAAATCAAGGATCCTGAGGCCAAGAAAGTAATTATTTAGCAAACTATTTTATTTTAATTTTTATTTTTTCAGTTGGCTTTGTGGTTTTGATGACTATATAACATCTTCACTGGATGTCAGCCTGAAGATTGGGATGACAAGGAGTATATTCCTGATCCCGAAGACAAGAAGCCAGAGGTAATGAATCATTATATAGCTATGTCTTAACTTATGTTAAACTGCAGATAGTGTTTGGAAAATGTATATTTGATTTGGTCATTTGTGTTTTATGTTTATTTTCTTCATTTATTTTTGCAGGGTTATGATGACATTCCCAAGGAACTTCCAGATCCTGATGCCAAAAAGGTAGTTATTGAAGTTCCTGCAATTCCAATCAATGTGTTTTGGATCCTTGATTTCTGATAAAATAAGCCTCTAATCTAAGTGGTTTGATGTTATAGCCTGAGGACTGGGATGATGAGGAAGATGGTGAGTGGACTGCTCCAACCATTCCCAATCCTGAGTACAAAGGCCCATGGAAGCCAAAGGTTTGTGTCTTTGTTTTAAATTGAAAGCATTTGATGTCAATTTGTGATTCGGGGACCATGTATTTATAACTCTGCGCTTGTTCCAGAAAATTAAGAACCCCAACTACCAGGGCAAGTGGAAGGCACCAAAGATTGACAACCCAGGTTTGTTTTGGCTCTTGTTTGATGTCATTTAAATGCTTCTCAAGTTCCAGCTATATTATATTGATTAAATGTGAATGTTTCACAGATTTCAAGGATGATCCAGAACTTTATGTTTACCCAAACTTGAGATATGTTGGCATTGAATTGTGGCAGGTAACTTTCTCACCATTTGTTTTGCCAAGTTCTAATTGTTCTCAAGTTGCTGACGACATTGTTTTATATCAGGTGAAATCTGGAACCTTGTTTGATAATGTCTTGGTCAGTGATGACCCGGAGTATGCAAAGCAGCTGGCTGAAGAAACATGGGGAAAGCAGAAAGATGTATGTGGTTTTTTCCCATTTACATTAAACCATCCAAAGTAGTGCCTTCTCCCTTGACGTAGATTAACATTATTGAACTTTGCAGGCTGAGAAGGCAGCATTTGAAGAGGCAGAGAAGAAAGCGGATGAGGAGGTACTTTCTAGGTCTTGTGTTGCATAAGAAACTATGGAAATTTTGTAATTTAGGGGAGGATGCATGTTGCTTTTTCAGGCCTTTTTTCTTCAATGAAATTATTCTAGATGGGTTGGATGAAGGGCTCTGAGATGGTTTGTTCCGTCTGTTTTTTCATGCATTCTGCATGTTAAAACTCTTAAATTACTGTTTTCTGTGGTTTTTAGACTTGTTAAGCGGGGCATTCTTAAGATTACTCTCTTGCAATAGAAAGCTGTCGGGGATGTTTACCACTCCATCTTGCATTCGTTCTGTCTTTGACACATTTCATGACTCTTTCCTGACTTTTTGTGCTTTGATCACTGCAGGAAACCAATGAAGATGCCGCAGGTTCTGATGTAAGCATACAAACTGCTTGCTAACTCATGTTATTACTCTGTTTTTCTAGCTCTAAGTCAACATCCCTATATTTTCAGGCCGAGGATGAGGATGAGACTGATGATGTGGAAGGAGAAGATTCTGACGCCGAAACTAAAGAAGACAAGGACGGCGAGGACGAAGAAGTACATGTAGGTTTTCTTTCCTCTGATGTTGTACCGAATGAATGCTACTTATTTGTCTGTATACTGATCAGATCTGCATATTTCATATTCGCAGGATGAGCTGTGATGAGGAAGCACTCTTGCCAGCAAATTGGCATGGAGATCCATCTTGGCTCCAAGTGCTAGTAATTTTGTTTGTCCTCATAATTCTTAGTTGTAGGATTCCATCTAGGAACGGGTTGAGAAATGCATGCATGCAAAACTTGCGTGGCTGATCGTTTTTAGCCTTGAGAATGAATGAGAGTTGTGTTTTAATAATCACATTCATAAAGTAGTCTGAACGTGTTCCACAAATGCTCAGCTGAGAAGCTCTCTTTACCTCTCTCTCTCTATTTTGTTCACTTACCCTTATTTTTTCATAAATCTTTCCCTTAGGTTAGACAGGTCTGTGCCCATATTATTGCTGGATGAGGTCTAGAATTAGCATCTGCTCTTGCTAATGGTTATTATGGCCCACTGGATGTGCAGAATCCCTTACATTTTTCAACCAGGCCCATCTAGATACAACAGGAGAAGAGATGGAGAGGGACAAGTCAAGAGAAAATGGAAGGGAATAAAATCCATGAATACTGACTGATAGGTGATCATATAGTATCATTTGCACCCAGAATCTGGCTTGGGCCTCTTCACTATCAGAACTGGACACTTCACTTTCTGTACACAATGGTTGCTCACACTTCCAAGAAATGCCCTAAGGTGAAACCCAAGTTAAGAATTTATTCTCAGAAATTAAAAAAAAAAATTAAATGGGACCAACCTCTTGATCAAGCCATAGCCATGGCTGCCCATAACAACCAGATCAACATGCAACTTCTCTGCCACCTCGCAGATCACATCCCTCGGATCACCATGCTCTATTCTCGTCTCAACCTTAACCTGGTTCCACCAAATGTCATCGTATTTAACGAAACAAGCTTACTCCTCTAACTTGAGGATTATTTATATAAAAACATGCTGATGATACTCACGTCCTGAACTTGTTCTTTACACTTTCTTTTAGCCTTCTCTATAACAAAACCAGCCACGTCATTGTTATACTTCAGCATCATGGCCAGGAAATCAGAAGAAAACACATATCCTGAAAACCAATCATGAAAAACATGAGTTTCTTCGAGTCGAGACTGAAGAACTAAGATATATCAATGTTGTGAATTCCTCTCTTAGAATGTTACCTGTGTTATCAAAAGTCGGGTAGACAGCCCTGGGGGGGATAGCATAGAGGAGGATTAGTGTATCCTTGGAATTGCTACAAAACAAAACATTCTCGAGACACCATGAAAGAGCATGCATGCTCTCCTCACTCTCATCAACAGCCACCAAGATCTTGCGGTCTCTCGGTGCTCCCACTTCATCAGCCATTGATAGGATAAAAAGGGTCAAGCTAAGGGTAGGAAAAGATTGTTTGTGAAGGCCAAGTTTTGATGCTTGTTTGTGTTGGAAGAAAGAATGGGTGTGTTTATATAAGAAGATCGTGAACCGCAGGATGGGTTTGAAAAACTGTTGGCGGCTTTTTGTGCTCTGGGTTTTTAAAAGACAGTGGATCGCTATGTGGGATTTGGATATGGTAGAATACTAGATGTCATCCCGTAATGTTGTTGACTTCTAGTATGTTTTTGCATGGCTATGAATTTATAAAAAAAATTATATGATGAAAAATTATTATATTTTAAAGTATTTTTAAGAAAAAAAATTATAAATCTAATTTTTTAACTAACTTAATATTAAAAAAATAAAATTAACAGAGATAATTTTAGAAAAAAATCATAAAAAAATAAAAAAAAAACAAGTAAAAACACATTGTAGCAATCTATAGCGTTCCATGAGTAAATCTGAAATTGTAATTATCAACCAGTTTAATATTAAAAATAATAAAATTTATAAAAATAATTTTAAAAAAATCATAACAAAAAAATTATATGGGGGAACACTATGGTAATCCATAGTATTTTAAACAAAAAAACTACGAAGTTAAATTCTCAATCAGCTCAATATAAAAAAATAAAATCAATAAAGATAATTCTAGAAAAAAATCATGTGGGTAAACATTGTATCAATCCACAGTATTTTAAAGAAAAAAACCATAAAATTAAATTCTCAACCAACTCAACATTAAAAAAATAAAATCAATAAAAACAACTCTAAAAAAAGAACACAAAAAAAAATAAAAAGAAGAAGAACACAATTTTAGGTGAAAAAAGAAGAAGAAAAAATTAAATAAAAAAACATGTGGGAAAAGTGGAAGTTAAATTTTCAATTAGTTCAATATTAAAATCATTTAAGAAAACACTGTATCAATCTATAATGTTTTATGAGGAAATATACAATTGTAATTCTCAACCAACTTAATATTAACAAAAAAAATCAATAAAATCTTTTTTAGAAAATATAAAAAACAAAAGAAAAAAATTATACAGAAAAAACTGTAGCAATCTGTAGTTTTTCATAAGGAAATCTATAATTTTAATTTTCAACTAAATCAATATTAAAAATAATAAAATCAATAAAGATAATTTTAAAAAAAATCATAAAAAAATCACGTGAAAAAACATTATAGCAATCAAAGGTGTTTTAAAGAAAAAAATTGCAAAGCTAAATTTTCAACTAGTTCAGTATGGAAAAAAAAATTTGAAAAAAAATCAATAAAAAAACATGTGAGGAATTCTGAAAAAAATCATTAAAAAAAACTATGTGGAGAAACACTGTAGCAATCTGTAATATTTTTTTAAAAAAACTAAAATACTAAATTATCAACTAGTTCAATAGTAAAAAAAAAATCAACCAAAGAAATTATGAAAAAACAAACAAAAAAAAAGAAGATAATTTAAAAAAAAAAACATAAAGAAAAAAATAGAAAAGCAAAACAAGTGAGGAAAGCTAAAACTAAATTCTCAACCAACTCAATATTGAAAAAATAAATTTGATAAAAATAATTAAAAAAAAATATGGTGAAACACCACAGCAATACAAAAATCATGTGGAGGAAATACTGTAGCAATCCATAATTATTTAAAAAAAAAGTGAAATTTAATTTTTGACCAGCTCAATATAAAAAAAAAAAAATTGATAAAGATAATTTAAAAAATAAATCATAAAAAAATAAAAAAAACTATGTATGAAAATATTGTGGTAATTCATAATATTTTTTTAAAAAATTACATAGATAAATTTTTAATCAGTTCAATATTTTAAAAAATTGGTAAAGATATTTTTGAAAAAAAATTAAAAAAACAAAAAAAATATTAGAAAAACTACAATATTTTAACTAGGACTTTTAAAGTATTGATTAATTATACATTGCAAGTTCAAACGTTCATAATCTTTTTTCTATTCAAACCTGAAAAGGTTTCCAGCTATAAAAGCAAGATGAAATACATTTTTAATCTATTCTTGGAGTCACTTGATTCCCAATCTGATCCAATTTAAATCTTATGAAGAGAAGTCGAAATGTATCATAAACAATTAAACATCATGCGGGTATTAATTGTTTTTGCATTTCAAAAGATACTATTTATTTTTATATTTCAAGAGTTCTTTTTTAAAAAAAAATTGAAATTTTTTTTGTCTTTTTTTTATTTTTATTTTTTTTAATTTTAAAAAATATTTTTTTATATATATATTTATCAAAAAATTTAAAAAATAATCATTATCACAACATTAAACAAGTTTTAAATAGTATTAAAGTCTATTTGGTAGATCAATATACTAATTTTTTGACTTGATCTTTAATTTGGATAAATTTTTAAATTAAACTAGGTAAAAGTAAATCCAATACAACTTAATTAATTTGAAAAACCAGTTAAAATCTAGTTTATTTTTTTTTTAAATCAAAATAATATTATTTTAATTTTTTTTAAAATATTAGAACAGTATCATTTAGTAGAGTAAATCAAAGTCAGCCCAGTTGACTCGAAACTTGAGTTAATAACTTTTGCTACAATTGCGTTTTCAGAAGAGGTTTGATTAAATACACATGGTCTGACTCAGAGAAGCTACGAGCCTTCAAGGTCTTTTTCCAGATAAGGCTGATTCAAATATAAAAGGTGTTTTTCACAAGCCGGCTTTGGACCTGAGACCTCGCTGGAACTCAGCAGCGTACGTCCGCTCCCCTTGCAGGCCTAGCCTGCTTCCGGTGGCTGGCTGGATACAGCATGAACTCGTAGACAAGTGTAGTTAACATGTCACCTTTTTCATTCATTGTATTCTTGGAAGAAAGGTGATTAGGGTAAGAGTGTGTGCCATGTTAATTAGATTTGGCTTCTGTCATAATTATGTACTAATGACTATTCCTTAACGCGTTAATCTATCTAATTCCAAGCAAAAAAATAAATAAATAAATAACATGGGTCATGGGAATTTGTCCTTTGCTTGTAAAGGAAAGAACATACACAGAGCCAGGCCATGAAAGTCTAAGCAAATTAGTTGAGTGACACAGAGACCATGTCATTTTCATTGCCTTATTGTCACGCACTATGGACCTCTTGAGGCAAGAATTTGAATGATGGTTGCTGCGTAGAGGACTGGAAGAGCATTTATTCGATGTAATGCGCCCGGCAGCTAGCCCTATGTGCACGCAGCATTGCCCAGATCTTTCCCTCTCCCACTCCTATATAAACGTCTCTTCACTGTTTTCCCTTCCCACTTAGCTTCACAAACCTCTCTGCATTTTGATTTCTCTCTTAAATTCTCTTCCATTCAAGCTTCAAAATGAGGGGATCTCTCCTTCTTTCTGCTCGGTCTGCGTCGCAGCCGTTGTCCTCTCCGCTTTGGCTATGAACTCAATATCTGAAGGAGTGTCGTGGAGGTAAGATAATGCATATGTTTTTGAGATTTATTTAGGGTTTTTTTAGTGGTAGCAGTATATATGAGTATTTATTTAGGATTGAAGACCAAAAAAAAAAGTTGTTTCGCCGTTCATATATATATAAACCTCTATGTTTTAGCTGTTTTATTAATATTAATTAGTAATTGCAAGACTTTCAAAGTTATATATATATAAAACATTATTTGATATTTTTTTTTAAATGGTTGGAATTCCTATACTTAAAGCTACGAAGGAGGGGATCTCTCCTTTTTTTTCTCATGCTCTTTGATTTAGATGAGCATCAAACATTAGCAGTCAAATTGAAATTTTAAGCAGTACAAAGATAAAACTGAAAGAAGTTAAACAATAGGTTTCAGAGTGGAAAATCTTTACAAATTCTAGGACCAAAACGTAGTTTACACAATTATTTTCTAAACACAAAGTCACAACTTTACTCTATATAAATGCACTTTCTCTTCAGATTTTAACGGACTTTCTCTGGTTTCTCTCGACGTGTTCGAAACCAAGATCTTGTAAAATAGAAGGAAAAGATGTGGAGACTTGAGGCTTAAAGATTGAAACTTTCATTGATTATGCAAAGTATTTGGTTACTGAGAAACGAAGAATGAACTGGGTTTTTGTTGACTTTTGATTCTCTGAAGGGAAATTGAAGAAATCAATTAACTAGTAATTCACTGTACATGTTTCCTCACCCCTTCACCTTACTTTGTTTTTGGCTACTTTTATGTAGGCTTTGTCTTCCTTGCAAGTAGAGCTGAATGCAATCTGATTTCTCGTTTGCAATCCGAATGGTAGAGTTTCTGTTTGTGCTAGCCTGCGAATAATGGAAAATTCCTTGAAGAAAGATTTACCTTGGTTACTGAAATTATTGTGAACCGTCATGTCAATTATAGTTTATGTATCGACTGAAAATGAAAGCTATTTCACTATTCTGTGCACACAATTCTTGAAACACTAATCAAGGTTTTTGAAAGTATTGGAGCATTGTACACAGAATAGGTGAAATAACTTCCATTTTCATTCGATACGCAACTAAAATTGTAAATATAGTTCAGTCTCATTTTGGAAGCCAAGCTAAAGGAGACCGCTGCAATACCTATGTGACCTGTTCCGCTCTATGAAAAACCGACTGCTTCCATTTGGGTCTTTCCCCATTGACAACATACCTGGTGCAGGATCTTCTGAGTTTTTCCAGGAAATAAGCCGCTTCACTTGCCCAGTGTACTTGTTAATTCCATGCTTTCCACCAGGTAACATGTATCAGTTGGATTGTCAAAACTCCACCAATAAATGGCAGATGGATTTGAGCCATCTCTAACGACAATGTATCTGCTGTACTAGTATTCGGCATTGAAGATGCAAGAGAGCTGTTGACCAAACTGTTTCAGCAGTTAAAGATTTATATACACGCATTTCCACTTTAAAAAAATAGGTAAGTGACATGTTTAATTTTAATTGATAAGTAGAATGTCATTATGATAAAACTAATTGAATATCAAGCTGCTACAGTGCATAAAGCAATCCTGTGCTGTTTTTATGCCAGCTTGGCTGTAAATGAATAGGAAATTACTTTTTGAAGTTCATAGATTTGTACTATGAACGCGTTTTTCTTCCTGTTTATGGATGCACAGATACAGGGGGCTTGTTTTGTAGGATTGTGTCGAGAACAAGTCCAGTCCATTTGTTGAAAATCAGATAGAAGGAAGGTATGGTGTTATACTGGAAGAGAATTAAGCATTTATATCAATTAAAAGCAATCACAAGAGGCCTTCAATTGAATTGCAGAGATTGCCTTCTTTTTCTGTTACGCATACAACACATCAAGTTCGCTTGCATTGCCAGTATCTTGGAATTCCTAGAAGAGAGGACGTGAAACATGAGGGTGTATGCTAGTGGGAGGGAAGAACATACGACAGCCATGATCTTCAAGCAGAGAGCTTATCTCTTGATCATCATGCTACTGGTCAGCGGCTAATGGTTCGAGCACCTCTGCCTCTGTGGGTCGCATAGATGGCCTAGCCATTGTAAACTTGCTTTCACAGTGTTGTATGCCATCTTCACACTTTAGCTCCAACATCTTCTTCTGCCTTCATAGGGCGGCATAGTTAACTTCCGGAGCTCTCATTGTAGAATTAGCGAGCATATCAAGACCTTCTGGCCTGCTGTATTAACTGTGTTACATGTAACTGAAGAGTTTTTGGTTGTAATAAAGTGTTTTGAACATTTGTTTGAACCCGCTTGTGGTTTCTTAATGAAGTATTAGTCTTAAATGCACTTGAATACTTTGTAATTGTAGTGGAATGGTATGATTAGTATTAGGTTTAGTAGCAGTTGAATTCCAGAGGGTAGATTATGATTCAAAGCTGTGAATGAGAGAGCATGCCGTGGCAAGTTTATCTTGATAAGTATTTTTTTTAAAAAAAAAAAAATTCTAGCGACAAGGTGATGACCTCATGTTTACTTTAATCGTCAAGATTAAAAAGATAAAAAGCTTAAAGCTTTGAGGTGGTCGGCTGAGTTGGATTTGCTATGATTTCAACCATAACTACTAAGCCCATGAGGTTTCATTTTGAATTGTCTTGAACATTGATGCGGTTAAACTCTTGTGTGAATTAACTTAAATCCTAGTAATAATTTGGTTGATTTGGTTGGACATGAGGATGATGTAGTAACCCGCGATCCTAAATAAAATTCAATGCACTTTCCAATAATTTTTTTTTAAAATCTTGAAATGATATGATTATAGATTGATTTAAGTAATTTAACCCTAACCATATGAACTGAATTAGATCATTGATTTAATAACATTGATTATAATCTTGAAATTATTTGGGATATTAATAATATCTTGAAAGCTACACACAAATATAATAATTTGAGTTTCTCTAGATTTTCCTTTTAATTTTCATGAAAATCAGCATCACTTTGCACTCAAACATAAATCACATCATCTATCTTAAGTGTATAAATATCTAAATTTAAACTTAAAATAACTATTTAAACTAAACTGCAATATGTATAAATTCATAATACTTAAACCTAAAACTAAATATTATAATTTAAGTATATAATTAACTTTATATATATATATATATATATAATTTTTTTAAACTTGAGGTTATTTATTTATTTTAAGTTGGGTCTGGAGTGATACGAGATAGAATCTATATTTAATATGAAATTCTTAACATTTTGCTTTTAAATTTTACCCGAATCTAATTGCATCTAAATTTTTTTTAACTCATTTATATCAATTTAAATCGGTATCTATGGGATTTAAATGAAATTTCTATCACCAAAGAAGATCTTTTTTTTTTTTATGGAAAGTCAAAATAAACTAGAAGAAGAAGGTGGTTGTGTCGGTATATCATTTTTAATACAACTTTGTTGAAAAAAATCAGTTCTTGATTCACCAATAAAATCCAATTTGCAAAACAATTAGAGCCTCCGGTTTTTGGGGCCTAATTTCTAATTACCAGCCACCCACAATTTTGCTCTGCATTTATACCCAAGCCAGCTAATTAACACACACTTTATTTTAAATCCAATCTAAGACCGTCCACTTTTATATCGACGGCCCACCTTCTCCCAATGACAACCACAACCAAGATCCTATCGTCCACTTCTATATCAACGGCCCACCTTCACCCAATGACGACCACAACCAAGATCCTACCGTCCACGTTGGTCCATGCAATCCAACCCGGGGACCCGACGCGCCCCACACCAGCATCATATTATTCAAGGTAAACTACACTTTGACACCTCTAGTTTTATGAATATTACATTATGGTTCAAATTGTTTTAATTTTTCCAATTTTTAACTCCAAGTGTCCAAATTCCAAAAGGCCTTAATATTGTGTAGTGGGCAAATCAATTTTAACTTCTTTTTATCTATGACTGGTATATTTGGATTGTGTTTATGAGAAGCTATGCTCAAGATATTCAAAATTTTAATTTCTTTCTTAAGAAAAGATATTATTTGATACTTTTTTTTTTAAAAAAAGATTGGAATTCTTAGACTAAAAGCTATAAATTTGCTCATCATCTATCTTTCGCTAAGCAATTCATTAAAAATAAAAAAAAAATACTTTTGTCCTTAAAAATTTTCATCATCTGTAACAGTTCACAATTGTAAAAATATTTTATTTATTAAAATCATAAATGTTTTTTATAATAAAATGAGTGTAGATAAAAAAAAAAAAATTTCAAATATTAATTCAGACATGTTGTAATTAAAGTGATATTTCAAGATATGTGTCTGTTTTTTTTTCCAACCAGATAATTTATTAATATCTCTTTTGTTTAATCACAATTTTTTTATTGTAAATATTTTTGATAAATTTTATAATGTTCTAGAAATAAGATGAAGTAGTTACTCTCTAATCTTAATTTGAAGAGACATAGAAGCATAGACAAAAGATATATTTTAAGCCAAGGTGAATTCTTTTTCTCTACTTTTTATAATTATTTTTCAGAGAAAAATAAATATAAGTAGTTAACCTCTTAGTACCATAAAAATCCTGGAAAGCGCCAGCTCCAACATTTGAATTAAGGGAGCATCAAACAATTAGTAGTTAAACTGAAATAATAAACAATATAGAGCTAAAACTGAAAGCAGTTAAACAATAGGCTTCAAAGTGGAAACCTTGTAAGACTTATAGGACTAAATCGTAGTTTGCACAGTTATTTATTACACACAATTCACAACTTGTCTCTATATAAATCCACACTATCTTCGGGTTTCAAAATACCCTCTCCCCCTGGTTTCTTTCAAAGAGTTCGAAAGGCTATGTTTTTGCTTGATTGGTTTTATGGGGTGCTAACATCACTTGGCTTATGGCAGAAGGAAGCCAAGATCTTGTTCTTGGGCCTTGATAATTCTGGCAAAACCACCTTGCTTTTCATGTTAAAAGATGAGGTACTTTTGGGCTATTTTATTTTTGTTTAACTTATGATTGTTCTTGTGGTTTTTGTTTGGTTACTGAGAAGTTGAAACTTTAGGTTCGTTAATTTTTTATCTTGTCAAGTATTTTTGGTGACTTGGAAGGGAAAAAATAAATTGGGTTTTTGTTAGAAGTTCTAAATTTGTGTTTATAAGTGAAATAGGAGAAAATATGGAAACTTGAGGCTTAAAGATTGAAACTTTGATTGATTATGTTAAGTATCTGGCTACTGAGAAACGAAGAATGAACTGGGTTTTTGTTGACTTTTGATTCTCTGAAGGGAAATTGAAGAAATCAATAAACTTTTGTTATGTGTTTTGTTTTTGTGTGTGGCAGAGATTGGTGCAACATCAGCCAACACAGTATCCAACGTCAGAGGAGTTGAGTATAGGGAACATCAAGTTTAAGGCTTTTGATTTGGGGGGCCATCAGATTGCTCGTCGAGTTTGGAAAGATTACTATGCCAAGGTTATTTATTTATTCTCTCGCATAATGTTTTTGTATATATATGAGGTTTGCGTGCAATGAAGTTTAGCATGTTAGTTGTTTGTAATGTGTGGATTGAAGTTACTTTCGTTGTGCTTGCAAGTTGCAATCATATTTGGATACTTGTCATCTAGTTTTACCTTTTAGACAAATTCATGCAGATTCAGGAAGTTGAAAATGGTTTCCACTGTTTTTGCAGCTATTGTCTGATGTTGTGGTGTAGTAGTTTTGGATTTTTAGAACTTAGATTGGATTGCAGTACGAAGTTTTTGTTCCTTCCTTGCTTGGTTGTTAGGACTTCTTTGGAACTTGGATATGTTAACTGAGCAAGTGTTAACAATGTTTGATTGGATTGCCTTCATAATCCCAGATAATGTTGCCTTTGTGATTACCTGATTCATGGGAGGCAAATACCTAATGGGAGTTCGCTAACACTTTTGGTCTTTGTTAGTGTTTTACTAGTACCTCACCGTACATGTTTCCTCACCTCTTAATTTTTTCTGGCTACTTTTATGTAGGCTTTATCTTCCTTGCAAGTAGAGATGAAATGCAATCTGATTTCTCCTTTTGTGCTAGCCTGTGAATAATGGAAAATTCGACATTAGCAACCTTTCCTTAAGAATAATATCTATATATCTTCTCCCGAGTACTCGTTGTCTTTCTCTCCCTGTTTCTCACGTGATTTCTCATTTTTTATTTTTGATGTTGTAAAATTTAGTGTAACTGTTTTGTACTGTGTTCTTGCTGGCTTTTTTCCTGAACAATTTTGTACCGCCGAGTTTTGACATCAAAATCCTTTTCATGTCAAGGTGGACGCAGTTGTTTACTTGGTAGATGCCTATGACAAAGAGAGATTTGCGGAGTCAAAACAGGAACTAGATGCTCTCCTCTCCGACGAAGCATTAACCAACGTCCCTTTCCTTGTTTTAGGCAACAAGATCGATATTCCATATGCTGCTTCAGAAGAAGAGTTGCGATACTACCTTGGCCTTGCCAACTTCACCACTGGCAAGGGTAAGGTGAACTTGGAAGACTCAAATGTCCGTCCGCTTGAGGTCTTCATGTGTAGCATTGTCCGGAAAATGGGTTACGGTGAGGGTTTCAGGTGGCTTTCTCAGTACATCTAGCGAGCTATAGAAAACCAAGAT